CGCCTTTCACTAACGATGCCGGCGAAACGTTTGGGAATGGACTAAATTAATTGTCAGAAGCTGGTTATCCTGAATACCATGGTCGAGGACACAGGAACAGGACCGTTGCGCAAGCTCTCCCTGACGCTCCGACAAAGTTGAGAAAACAAGGTCGAGCCAACAATGGAAAGTATTTTAGCCTTTATCGAAGGGAACAAATATAAGGGCCTTCAGCCACCCTTTGAAAGTCATAAGCAAACCTATCCTACTATATATGATTACTTGTAGGTAGAAATTTCTGACTTTATTTTGTCTTAAGAAATAAGGCTTTACCTGAGCTCCGAAAATCTGATGATTCAGAGTGTTGCCGACACGACCATGTGACATCGTTGCTAGTTCCCCTACTTAAGTCACCCCCCTTGTTGCAGATATCCACGAATGGCCGTGTGTCCGCCTCAAAGGCAGCTACCCCAGCAAATCCACCAGCCCTAATAGCGAGCTTCGATGGAGCTGTTGATTGATGGCCATTGATAGCTGCCTTCTCAACTGTAGAGGCTTTCGAATCGCAGATCAAGATTTTTTCATGGCAATGCTTGTGGAGGTAATGGATAAAATGATAGTATTGTTGCTCATAATGATAGTAATAATAAAGTAATGATAGGCCAAGGGAACTGTAACCTTCGTCTGTAAGCTGGTTGATATCAGCGCCAAAATCGAGCAGCAGACCCAAAAGTCTGACATTCCAAGTTAGCTAAAAATTATGTAAATAAGTTGCTAATGAATTAACATAATAGCAGATAGTAATCGGTAAGTATATAAATACAATTAACCAAAACTATGTAAGACAGTCATATGATATTGTAAAAAGGTGGAAGTTCACCAAGGACACTGATAAATGATCCTAGCATGAGAGCATTGAGGAACTACTCGGTTTTTATAGAAAGTTAATCGTGATATTCAAAAAGCGAATCATGTAAGGTGGACTGTCCTTTCTACCTAACCTGAGTCTAGTAGGTTGCTTTGACACGACTCGAACTAGGGGCGTGTATGCTCATTTGTAAATATGGTACGACTGGTGGCCATGTTTCGGGGAAAATGTATTACTTGGAGGGCACGGCAGAATTCAAATAGCCCATGGCCTATGGTGAATATAAATCCTGTATTCGTCATCAAACCTGACATGTTAGGAGATTTTTTAAGCGAAATTATATTATTGATGGGACTTTCATGCGAAATGAAAAGTCCCAAAATAACATCATTTCAGGAGAAGTTGGTTGACATCGTTGTCGAAACTTGGTCTTGTGTTCAGGGAGACTAT